CCGCAAGTGGACGTCGTCGTGAAGCAGGGCAACTCCCGCTGCGTCGAGTGCAACATTGTCTTCTACAAGCACGAAAATTACCTCGTTCACAAGGAGCTGTACTGCGCCTCGAGGCGCTCCTCGGCCAGTCTGGCGGCGGCGGCGGCGGCGGCCGCGGCCGCTGCTGCTTCTGCTAACCATCAAGATCAGCAGCAGCAGCCAAGTTTGGCCCTTTCTCCCCCGCAGCACCTGGGCGTCATCAACCCCCCTGTCAACACTATCATTCGACCCACCAGCGCCCACTCCTCCTCCTCGCAGCTTTCTTCGGCTTCAGCAGTGGCTGCTAATGCTGCTAATGCTGCTGGTGCTGCTGGTGCTGCTTCGCCGTCGCTGCTCCTAAGTCCTGGTCTGACTACTACGAAAGGCTGCTTCCCCAGCCCGGGGGTGATTCGATCGCCAGGGGGTGAAGGACAGACAAGTAAACCGGTTCAACTCGATGNCCTGGTCTGACTACTACGAAAGGCTGCTTCCCCAGCCCGGGGGTGATTCGATCGCCAGGGGGTGAAGGACAGACAAGTAAACCGGTTCAACTCGATGAGCAGCAGCTCAGCCTGTCGCCGGGAGTTCGTGAAGGCCAACACTTGTTGCTGCCTAACTCCGCCTCCTCTCCAGCGGCCTCGGTCAGTCCGTGCGTTTCGCTCACCTCGCCAAAGTTGCCCGCATCTTCGGTTCCAGCAACTTCTTCTTCACCTTCCTCGTCAACTTCAGCTCCCGCCATCTTTCAGTACTACTGCGCCGCCTGTGGCATCAAGTTCACCTCGTACGACAATCTGCAGGCCCACCAGACCTACTACTGCCTGAAGCGGTCCTCTTCGGCGGCGGCGGTGGCCGCTGCTGCTGCTTCCGCGGCTGCTGCTCAGCAAAATTCCTCTTCAGCAGTTTCGCCGTCACCCTCAACTTTGCCACTGTCACCCTCCCCGAATGGAGTTGCCCCAGTGGCAGCAGCAGCCTTCACGCCCCAGCAGCTGCTGGCCGCGGCCGCCAGCCTTCAGCAGCAGGTGGCACTGAGCAATGGAGATAGTAATTCTTCAAGCGCCTTTGATGCCGGTTCGATCTTTCAAAGCGCCGGAAGCCTGGACGCGGGAATTTCCCCCTTTCTTGCCGGCTCGCCAACTGCCAACTTTTCCCAGCACCTGGCGCTCATCTCGGCGGTGATGGCCGGCAGTAAGCAGTTGGCGGCGGCTGCAGCTTCTGCCAATTCCGCTTCCGGTTCCGGAAAAGGGGTCGTCCCAGCAGCAGCAGCAGCTCTCGCCGACCACTACTGCGTGAAGTGCAAGGCGACGTACGTCAGCGCGGAGACGCTGGCGGCGCACGTCTGCAGCGCCGACCTGACGGCGCAAATGGCCGAGCAGGCGACCAGCACCATGAACAGCAGCACTAAACCTACGACTAAGAGCAGCACCGGTGGTGGCACCAACCCGACGCCCTCCACCGCCTCCCTCCAAACGTACAAGTGCACCATCTGCGGCTACAAGGGCCACACGATGCGGGGCATGCGGACGCATGTGCGCGTCCACTCGGAGCAGCTGGCCGCCACGGGCGCCTACGAGGAGGAGTTCATCGTGGCCAATACCGACCTGCCGGAGCCCAGTCTGGGCCGGGGAAGGGGTGCTCACCACCATCACCATAATAACCACCACCAGAATCAGAACCAGAACCATCAGAATCAGCAAAATCTGAACAGCTCGATAGGCCGAGGAGGAGGTCGTCGACGAAGTAGTACTACTGCCGCTGCTGCTGCGGCCTCTACTGTTGATGCAGCAGCTGAAATGGCCGCCTCAAACTTTGCTGAGCAACACCTAGGCCGGAAAAAGTCCTCTTCTACTTCTACTTCCACCTCCTCTTCTGCTGCCGCCTCTGCTTTTGATCTTCAGGATCAGGCAGGTTTGATGATGCAGCAGGCGGCGGCGGTGGCGACGGCTGTGAAGGCGGCCGCCGCCGCTNCACTTCCACCTCCTCTTCAGCTGCTGCCTCCGCCTTTGATCTTCAGGATCAGGCAGGTTTGATGATGCAACAGGTGGCGACGGCTGTGAAGGCGGCGGCCGCCGCCGCAGCTGCTGCCTCCTCCTTTTCCAATGGCTCACTGAATCCGCTCAGCCCGGAAGCTGCTGCTGCTGCTGGAGCAGGAGGTAACGGTGGTGGCGGCATGATCGCCCAGAACCACACCTGTCAGTTCTGCCGGTACACCTCCAACTACAAGGGCAACGTCATTCGGCACATCAAGCTGGTGCACAAGGACATTGCCAGTGCGCAGAGTCTGGCCGCCTCCATTGCGCTGCAGCAGCAGCAGCAAAATCAGCAACAACAACATCATCAACAGCAGGCGGCAGCGGTGGCTGCCTTTGCCAAAGAGCTGCAGGGCGCGATGAACATGGCGGCAGCGGCGGCGGCTGCTTCCGCTTCCGCTGCAGGAGATCTGCTTGAAAATGACTCGTCTCAGGAGGAAACAGCTACGGTAATCAAACGGACTTCTCCGTCTTCTCGGACTCTTCTTCTTCGAGGTCAGCAGCGATCACCCCCACTGACCAATGGCGGAACAAGCGTCAAAGAGGAGCAGCAGCAGGGGGACGAGGATGTTGATGGCCCTCCTGCCCTTGCCAATGAGGAGGACTCTTCAGAGTCGACCACGGTGGCTGAGAATCAGCAGCTGCAGCAGCAGCAGCAGAATGAGCTGGACACTCGCCACTGCAACTCGTGCAATATCTCCTTCACCTACCGCAACTCCTATCTCGCCCACAAGAAGTACTACTGCTCGTCGCATACCACTGAGGCTTAGGCGATGAGCTAGCTGGCTAAGCTCACTTTGGAAGCATTTAACTCACAAAGACTCTCACGCTCTATCTACTCTCATTTCGTTTCATTCTCAACTTATTCACCTTCTCAACTTTGCAATTTTGTTGACATTGTCTGTTTTTGTTTCATGTTATCATTATTATCCATTATTACTTCTTTCCATCTATCTCTCTCTATCTCGCCCCTTGACTAGTCTTTTCTTCCTTCTCTCTCTCTCTCTCTCTCCTGCATTCACTGCGTTCTCAATCATCATCACACTTCTCACAACAGACCTCTCCAATCAATCAATCAATCAGTCTTCTTGCCATGACATTATTCTCATTCTTATTCTTGCTATTTATTGTCCTCATTATTCCCCATTATTATTGGCAATTACTCATTATTTTTGGTGTTACTATACCTCAGAACACACTCACACACACAAACCCACTTATCCACATAAGCACATCAACATAATTTGCCATCATTATCATCATCTTGTTAACAAACCGATTATCAACACAACACTTTACAAATGACTGTACTTGTTAACCGAACAAAGGTGACCACTATGCGTGCGCGCAATAAAGACAAAGTGAATCAAAAATGTTTTTATACTTTACTTGCGTAATTTACTTCTTTGCTTGCTCTACTTTGATCTGTGGCTACGGCTTTTCTGCCAATCTGTGAAAAAGGTGATGGAATATTCAGAGAGATTTGTGAAAGATGTCCCTTTGATATGGCAACTTGTTTCAACTGCCCGAAAGCGGTTTATAAGCGAT